TATTAGCATGACGACTGGACTGCCAAGCGGCACAGCAGACCTGACAAGAGGACCAAGGATAACCACAGGATGGGGTTATGAGTTTGTAGAAAGAAATTAGACTATCTAGCTACCTGATGAACTCATTTGCCCGGGGAATGGCTGACAAAGTTAATTCTGGAAATGATTTAATGGGTAGCAGAGGCACGGGACCTTCAGATAAAGTGCTATAAGTTGATCTCCGCCAGGTCTTTATTTGGACTGATTATCTTTGCATTTGTGCCAACTTAACAGACTTTTAGAGCTCTTTTTCCTAAGCATGCAGTTACTCCTGACATGCTGAATCAATGCCCTTTCTCGCCTGTTGACCCTGATTACTTTCAATGAGCCATATACAGACCTCTCCTCTCCCACAACACTGGAGTGAATATGTGTGTGTGCACAGCCTGAGGAACCAGTTGGCCTTGGTGATCCACAGTATTTTGTGTTGGTAATTTGGTTTCCATGCATGTCTGAATTCCTCAGGTCAATTTGAATGTCTGAAGATTGTCGCTGTTGGGTGTGAAATATTAGGACCACAATTCTGGAGATTTTACTTTTTTAACATTTTGTTTTCTTAGTTCCCGAAAAGCCAAATTTTGCAGAATTAACTGTGTTTACAGCTGAGCCTCTTTAAGTAGGCTCTTTAGGATCTTCTACAGTGAACTGAGCTCCATACTTCTTCACTACATGTAGTTTTTGGCTTTCATGGTTTATAAGCTGGACGAGATTGTAGCCTCTACGCTGTCCAGACAGGCCAGAGTGTCAGAGGCTCATACGGGTACAAACACATTAATATCAACGTCACTCGCCGCCCGCACCCAGTGCCCAGACGGCTCCAGTTTCAGGCGGCATTCAGAGGAAAAGTCGGGTCATGTGCTGAACCTCAGTTTTAATTAGCTAATGGCACTCCCTGTTTCATCTCCTGGTCTGAGCTGATTGCTCACAAAAGACTCCATTTACCCCTGAAAACACACGCCATCTTGGCACCGGCCCACACTCTATGTCTCAACGTCTGCTGCCGAAAGATTTTGCCACTCTCCTCCAAAAATCAGTCTAGTAAATCTAAATATATATGTTTGCTGGTTTCACACCAGTGAAAAAAGAGGAAATTCCATGATCTACGCTTTTTTTCCAAACGGGCCTCAACATCCAACTTTCCTTCAACAAGTGGTTTGACTGAGTGTGTCAGTGAGTGTTTTGGTGTTTGTCTGTGTGTGTGCGCACATGTGTATGTGTTTGGATAGAGTCCCATTAAGCAGCTAATGCTGGCTGTGTTGTATCATTGTGAAATGGGCGGGTGGCTTTCTGTCTCGCCTTTGGCTCAAACATATGAGTAACACCAAAGTATGTGAATCTACCCTTTTATGGAGGAATCTGAATATGCTTTTAAATAGTGTGTCAATTACCTCACTTCAATGGTATGAACCTCAGGAGAAAAATATAGGAGCTTTAATCAAATATCAAAAGAAAATGATACTGTAAATGACCTTAATGAGATATAAATCATCATTAAGATCACCTTACTCACCTTACATAAAACTTAATGAGCATGCTTTTATAAATGTCTTTTCAGCCAGGTGCAAAACTAAAACGTTAAACAAAGCCTGAATATTGTATCAAAGCCAAAAAAGCCTTCACAACCTTCCTACGTTCCTCATTATAATTCACCCAATCTGTGCTTAAAAATACTGCATTTCTGCAGAGATTCTTTGCATGTAAATACAGTAGCATAACAAAACCAAAGAATCTGGTTTCATGCCTCGAATCCTTTTACCCACAACAACATAACCTCCTCCAATAACATTAAAAACATACTATTGTTTTCAATAGTACTAAAAATGTGACCAAAAAGCTTTGCCAAAGAAACCAAATAAAGTTCTGTACTCCTGCCTGAAGTCACTCTGCCATGTAAACGCTCTGCCCTTTCCACACACAGAGCTTCATGTTTTAGGAGGATATTTTCTGACCCTCATAGCTCACAGACCAGTCCTCAGACACTTCAAATCCACTGGGCCGTCCTCTGACAAAGCAGAACAATATCAAAGTCTGGGACCACGTCAGGGCTACTCTTGCTGGATATATTTTTAATATTTATGCAGACACAGGAAAAAAATGTAATAAACTAAAACAACAAGTGAATTAGGCATGAAACACAACAGGATATTGCAGAGAGATTATGTTGTTTCCTTTTCGCCCGTGTGTCCTTTAGTGCTTGCCTGCCCTACACAACAGCCCGGGGCTAGCTTTAATTGGCGGGGAGAGGGGACCGAACTCATTTTCTAAAAAGGTAGCGGAACTTTTTAAGAGCCACAGATTCAGCCATCTACATATGGAAGGAACTGACTTTTTTTTAAATGCGGAATTTCTTAAAATATTAGCCAGGTACAGACTGTGACAGGCTCACACAGGGGTCGCGGTACGACTTGTGATAATGACTTTTTCCTGCCAAGACGCAGCATGAAGCAAATGCTGTGCAGCTGTATGAAGAAAAAGAGATACAGTATATATGTACAGAGAGCAGGAGAGAGGGAGAGAGGGAGAAAGAGGAGAGAGATGTGTTATGTTTGGATGTGAGGAGAGCCCTGTTTCATGAGCGCCCGCTGGAATCTGCTGCTGGAAAGATAATAAAGGGATTAGCTCTGGTTTTTCTACAGCATTTGGTCCTAAAACAGAATGTCTCATCTGCTTCCTCAATACGAATTGCTCGAATTCTTGAATGCCTTTGTCTATTGCACGAGCACAACAAACACAAGGGGCATCGGTGCTAGTGGCCAAAAAGCACACAAGCTCAGACAAAAAAAAAAAAAAAAGAAGAATTTGGGATGGACACACCACTAAAATACATGAGCATGCTTTCAAACGCTCACAGAGACACTAGGTTTCCTATATGGTACTTACTTAAATCCGTATAGACTATATACAAACACAAACACAGTTACAAATACACACAGAAAGTGTATTTATTTTCTCTGGCCCTCCAAGTTTATCTGCTGAAGTCCCAGATCAACATACACTCAATCCCTGCTGATTAGATGTGTTGATTCAAGCTTGAAAACATTTCACATTTCTGTTTATATTCTGTCGGAAAAGCAGGAGTGTTACAACCCAACGTACTGTACACGGAATCAATACTTCCTATTGTGAGACTCAATGGAAACAATATCCCCATTTTTACATTACTGCATGGCGGTGAATACCTGTGTTCGCGTGTGTGTGTGTGCTTGAAATGAGGGTGATCGGGAGGTTAGGGTGTGTAGCGACGTTTCACAGTGCCTCATGTCCGCAGACAGAATCCAGTGGCTCGTCCACACTGAGCCGAATTGTTCCAGCGCTCACATATGGTAAACATCTCCACATAAACACACACATACACACCGTCACAGTGACACATTCATGCATACGTTTAAACCGTATACACATTCAAACATTCGCTCACTGTCTGTTTGCTATGTGTCACCCAAATGTGACTACAGGCCTCAGACTAAAGACACACCCGCACAGCGCTCCAAAAAGCAGCAACAACAAAAAACAAAAACAAACAAACAAAAAAGAATGAAAGCCTTTAATACAACACACTCCTAAAGTAGAATTAACAGTTCGGGAACATATAATGCACAAATTACTTCCAAATTTTTAGTTCACGCTGAGCCAAGGAAACAGAAACACTAATACCCTGGAGTGACGCAAAGCAGAGAGAACAGCAGCAAAACTTTGTGTCTTTTAGCCTCCGCTGGCGCTCAGCTCAGATGTGCACTAACAAGTATCAGAATTAGTCAGGATCAACATGAATTTCTGATCCAGCTCCACAGAAAACTGCCATAAAATACAACTTTCTATTAACAGACCCTCACCTCAGTTAATTTTACAAGCCACTGTTACTTAGAAAAATAAACAAGACCTGGATTTTTTTTCTTTTAAGAAGAAAAAACAAGGCCTGGAGATAAAACAGGTGCTGTAGCTATATTGCACACTCAGTTCTTCAATAATTAGGATTTGGATGGGTTCCTGAACTTGAAGAGGACCACTTCTGACAAGGGCTTTGGGTGAAGCCGTGAATTGAGCAAGACTAGCAAATGTTACCGACTATCCCTCTGTGGCTCCCTTCTCCAGACTACTACATTTCTCCTCATGTTTGGCTTGGATATGAAGCCAATTCACTTAATACTTGTGGGACAGCTAAACATTTAAAGCTCCCATTTAAAAGGATCAAGTGTAGGCATTGTTTAGTTATGTTAACCATATGTGTTGGCTTTTCATGATCTGAATCCCTTCTCAAAAAACAGAGTGCTCGTGAAAATAAACATGGCTTCGCCCTACACAAATTGTGGACTAATTGTGTATTTGGACTAAATCATTCTTAAGGTTGGAGGGCTTTTTCCATTTGCTAAGGGACGTAGGGGAGTGACAGCTTGACATTGATTAGTGTGTTGACTTGTGGAATTGGAGCCCTACCTGTAAAGAATACAACCACAAATCTATTTATACTGACGAGGTAGCGCTGCTCTTACAGCAGCTCACATCTTCAGAGGAGGAAAAAAACTCTTTTTTACCTGTTCCACTAAAAATACAGGAATTACAATCATAACTGTTTCTCAACCAAAACAAAATAAAAGTTTCTGTTGAAAAGTAATCAGCAGTGAAGCAAGTCCAGTCTTGTTTTTGGACACAATGGACGTATCTCGTTGAGGAAAAATCATCTTGTGGGACTGTATTACTTTTTGAAATATGCGCTTGTGTTTAATTCAAACAAAAAACATTTTTCAACAGATGGTTGCAATTATGGGACAAACTAGACTCATATTAAACCAATAAATACAACCTTATACTTTAAAAAAGAAGCGAAGATTAGTAAAAGAAAGATGGCTTACTATAAGGGGACTTTCAGCAATACTGAATGGATGTGTTGTGAATGTGACTGGTGTCTGTTTTTTTGGATCTGGCAAGTGTTGGGTGGATAATTCAACAAGATGATGACTCACCATACACTTGTTAGGCTTCTCTCCGGAGTGGACTCTCATGTGAATGAGCAGCTTGTAGCGGGCGTTGAAGGGCTTGTAGCGGCGAATGCAGCCGGCCCAGAAACAGGTGAAGTCCTCTCCTTTGCGCTGGTCAATGTGGACCTTCTCAATATGCCTCACAAGCTCCTCCTGCTGCTCGTACGCAGCACTGCAGTCAATCCAGCGACACACCTGCTTATCGACCAGCACTCCTCCTCCGACTTCTTCCCGCTCTGGGGCTGCGTGAGACCCAGGAGGGCCTCCAGTGTTCGGTTTGAGTCCCAGGGAAGAGGTTGGTGCTGTTTGCTGGCTCTGGTGGTGCAGAAGACCCCCAGGACTGGGCCCAACGTATTGGTGCAGGTGGTAGGGCGGAGGCATAGCGGGGCGAGACGGGTGGTGAGGCTGACGAAGGTGCCCGCTACGACCACTCAAGTGATGGTGATGATGATAGTGGTGCTGAAAGAGTTCGTCTTCACTAGGAGAAAAATCATCCAGGGGCTCCTGTTTGAGGGCAGCCCCTGATCTTTGGCCCCCGTCCATGAGAGCCCCAGCTTCAGGCCCCGAATGCAGCATCCCAGACATCAGGGACCCACTCATCAGTAGCCCCAACCCGTCTGAGCCCCCTCCTCCCCCTCCTCCCACACTTCCCCCAGCTGTTCCTCCAGCCCCACGCCCCTGCAGCATGGAGCCCCGCTCCTCACACAGCCCCTGGCTCTGCCCTTGGCCCTGCTCCGGCTCCACTGATGACACTGAAGAGGAAGACGAAGAGGAGGAGGAGGAAAGAGACAGCAGGCAGGTGGCAGGTGAGGATAGCTGACAGCTCTCCTGTAGCGTGGCCTGCTGGGGGCTGCCGTGAGGTGGGGGCCTCTGGGGGGCTTCCCGTGAGCAGGAGTTAGAGGGTGGGGATGTAGAAGAGGAGGAGGAAGAGGAGGAGAAGCCGGCACTGCTGGTGTGGCTGGGCGAGACGTTAGTGCGAAAACCGTTGACGCAGGCAACCATCGACATCTGGGAGGAGGAGCAGACGATGGCGGTGATATTGATCTCCTCAGAGAGATCAGCACCAGTAGCCGACGGGGAACCTGTGGCAGCAACGCTGCCAGCAGCGGCCGTGGACTGTGAGGCCAGAGACAGGCAGCGTCTCCTCAGACTGCTAGCATTGAGCAGCCGCGCTGAATGACGGGAGCCAGTTGGGGACAAAGCCAATGGGGAGGGGCCATCTTCATTATTAAACGGTTGCACTGCGTCCGCTGACACAGCGCTACCGACATCACTCACTGTGCCAACGCCACTACTGTTGCTGCTAACATGTGGCACTCCAACTATCTCATCCCTTGTCATCCCCAATACATGGCCTGCCGCACAGTTCTGAAAACCCGCCTGAGACGTGCTATGGACCGCGGACCCCGTGTTGGAGATCTTGTAGCCCATTGAGTTCTCCTGTTTGATTGGGTAAGGGAGAGAGGAGCGAGCCCCATTGGCACCGCCGCAGCTCAGGCTGGCTGAGGCCCCTGGCAGGGTCCTCTGGAAGGCAGAGGAGGATCTGTAAGGAGAAAAACACACAAAGAGGAATATGAGCACTACTAGCTCACAGACCGATGACAGATACTGGCTGGTTCATCCTTCCCACCAGCAGCACTGTCAGAGTTTAGCCTCCTGCTTACCCCTCCTCCTCTGATTATTCTCTCAGTTTACATAAAAACCATGTCATCCTAAATGAGTCCCACCTTCCTAAATATTTCAACCAAGTCTCTCATTTAGTGTAATGGACCTTATGGAACAAACAACAGTGTGTGAGACTCAGTGACATAAGGTGATGCTGGACACCAGGTAGTATCCGCTGCTGATGATCCAGAGTGTTTTTATGAATAAATGAAACAGGATCTCCAGGTAGTGAGAGGTTATGAATGGGCATTTATGACTAAGAAAAGAGAGAGGGGGAGGGATGGATGGCTACTGGGACCGAGAGGCCACTGGCTAGTGTGTCCATCTGACAGGCTTTGATGACACAAAGGGGTTAAACCCAACCCAACATTGGGGATAAATAGGGAGTCACCTGTTTTGGTGGCATAATTGCAGCCTATGAAGGGTCACCGTTTACAATACTGTGTATTATGGTGGGAATCTTTGCCCCGCTGAATGGGGAACCCAGGTCAGATTTCTCCATGCGTTGCTGTGATCTCCTACATAATCATTCCTGTCAGTTGGCTCATTATGGATTTTGTCCAAAGCCCCTGAGTGATGTGAGAAGAGCCCTCTTTTCTCCGGGCTGTCTCATGAAGGAATCGTCTTTGTCCCTTCCCCTGAGCACGCTGGGGGAAAAACAGAGCTAACGCTAGCTAGGATTGGAGAAAGCCACTGGCAGACTTTGTCATCGTTGTTGTTATTAGAGACTTGACCCCCCCTCTCCTTCTATTCAGGAGCACCATTTCCTGTTTATCTATAGTGAAAATATTGAAAGACAATATGAGGAGTGAATGGCTGTCCAGAAGCACTTTGGTCGGATGAGGAGGGGAAAGAGGGGACAAACCCTGCAACGGAGAGCTTTACTGGAAATTCTTTCTGACTTGGCCAACAGTAGTCAAAGATTGCACAACAGAAGAATCGCATTAGTGTAACATAAATGTTGTACTTTGGACCCCAACAGTGTGTTTTATGAAACTGGGTAAGCTTTCCAGCTACATATGTGTGCATCTGGTCCACAATAGCAAAGATAATGAAAAACACATTGTACCTGCATATTGTTAGTAACACTACACCCGACAGGAAACATTCAAAACTAGAACAGGAACAAAATTATTACAAAACAGCAATGATAGTGACAGTTTACCTGGTGTCTTGGTGAGGGCCGTCGTGCAGGATGAGGTCGGGCGTAGGTCTGTCGCAGTGGAGGCTCTGGGTATAAAGCCCCCCTAAATGACCCCCCACCAGCAGTGGCAAACTCTGCCCACATCGCATCAGGGTGCCCTCAGCATCACCCAGCTCCGTGTCTAAATCCTTCTCTGAGCAGTAGGCACCGTTCACTGAAAGAAGAGCACAAGAAGTATTATTAAACTACAGGGCTGTGTATTGGCAAGAATCTGGTGATACGATATGTGTCACAACACAGGGGTAACAATTCATTATAGAATGAATCACCGTGACCTCTGCAACAACTGGCAATTGATTTCAGTTGCAGAGAAATTGAGAAACTTGTTCATTTCTAGCCGTAACTCTAACATTTAAACATATGCAGTAAACACAATGGTTCGACCTGTCTGATGTTTCTGTAGTGCTTACTTTATTTACTGTGTTGCTTTGCCATCGCCTTTGATAAACCAAATCTACCGGCACTGACGCTAAGCAGTGTACTGCTGTGGACAGGGGGGCCACAGCCAAACATATTTTAGCCACCTAAAAAAAAAAAATCAAAATCACTTTTATTTTCTTCCACCCCTATTAAACTGGCCAAATCCTTGATATGTGATGCTTAGCAGTGTCCCAATGTCACTCTTAAATTACAAACGGGCTAAGCAGAGTGGACCTTATGATCTACTGACTGCCCTGGAAGAATAATCAGTTTACAGAGGAATCCAAGCCATCAGCGACATGTTGAAATCCTATTAGATTATGAATATTCTCTTGAGGAATAATCGTTGGCTGCAAGAACTGTAGTATCTCGTGATATATGGAGAGCTCTTTGGCAAAGTCCAACTGGTGACAGCAAGAATAACGTTGGGGAGATTTATTGCCAAATATTATTGCTGGAGTAATTGGGGAACCGTATTCCAAATGGCGGTGCGTCCACTTTGGAAAAATAAACAAACTCGAATTATATGTGTCCGGAAGATCCAGCCAGTAAAAGTGTAACCGTTGTATCAATCAAGAATTTAAATTACATACTGTCCCTTTAAATTTACCACCAGTTATTCTACTTTTGTGCAATCAACTCGCCTGAGAAAATGGTGACCTCATTAATTAATTTAATTAATTCGATTTATTTAAGTTGTAAATCATTCATTTTCCTTTTTAAATAAACCCCTTGCAAGAAGTGTGATGTAAGTACTCAGTGATTTAATATAGACGTGCGAAGCGAAGGGCAAATGGACTTCCTTTAGATCCTTCAAGATGTTTCGCCTCACAAGGCTTTTCCGTGAAAAATAAAAGTAACTGTGGTGGAGGAATCATTTATGACATATTCATGTGTTATATCAGCACAATGAAAAAATAAATGTCATTAAATTAAAACTGCTTTTCTATCTGCATTTCCTTTTTATTCTAAAATCATCAAGTGTTTTTATTCCTCAGACACAAGCACCATAAGTACGCACATTTTTAAGATTTTTCTTTTTATCATCATGTTTATCATTCCAACCTGACTCTTTGAGAAAAATAAAGCCTTTATGAATAGAACCAAAAACATAATAAAAAAAAGGAAAGGGAGAGATGAAAGTGAGCGAAGGGAGGGCCTCGATGTATGAGGAAATATTTGTGAAAGGTAAGCCGATATCCCCACACACTCATGTGTAGGCGGCCACGCGTCCCCTGTTCCAACTTTCCTAACTCAATTTCTCAAATTCAATTTTCTCCTAACGATGTTATTGACAATGTTATCACACACCATGAGCTATTATTAATAAAGTCACCCAAACACCCTCTATGTGAGAGAAAACATTAAAGGGTAATGGAGGGGAAGGGATACAAGGGAGGAAAATGAACTAAATGTGAAAATAGTGAAAGATATATTCAGCAGAAATAGGGGTTTGGGCTACAGATGACGAGGGAAAAAACACTAACAAAAAAGAAAAATATTACAACATGACTAACAGATGGAGAGGGAGTGTAAACAGTAAAAGAGGGAGAGGGGGGAAGTGTTACAAGGGTTACAAGGACGAACAAAAGACAAGAGAAAACAAGGGAACTTTGTGAGCCATGTTATCCTCAGTTTAAGGAACATCTTTTCACAAATCCCTCCTACAGTTGATGTATCCTTAGTCTCCTCTGCATTTGTCTTGTTGCGGGTCACGGCTGAAACACAAAGAAGTAGAGAAAAGGCAAAGCAAGCAACGCAAACAGTCGAGTATCGCCAGGGGACCCTCGGAACAACGCTGGTTTCACTCAAAGCCGTTCACAGAAGGCAAGCTGTCTTTCAGCTTTGGTCTGTTTTCAAGCAATACAAATCGTTGTGTTTATCAAATTCTGGATTGTTCTGTCTTTTTTGTTTTGCTTTTTTTTTCTCACTGCTTGTTGGCCGAGTGTATACAACTGTGTTTCTGTATGAAAGTTTCAAGGCCCGCTGATGTGAAGCCAAGTGTTTCCCTGCCCCGAGTCAGGAGTAATTTAATCAGGATGGCCAGAAGTGACATGAGTCAGGATGGAGATGACTAACATCATCAGAGATCTCATAATTAGGGCTTGACTGTTCATATGCATGCACGCGAAAACACAAACAACCAAATAAAAACTTTGTCATCATAAAGTACTGGATGGACTGGCACTCTGTCAATGAGGCCTTGACTGAATGCACATGCTCTCTCTCACACACATATCATCGTCACAACCATATAAAACACAGACCCACGCCAGGCAACCCCAGTATATGTAACACAAATTATGAGACAGTGCTCTTTCAATGCACGGTTTCACAATACAAAATGATGTTTGGCAGAAGAAGTCCAACATGTAGAAGAGTTAGACATAGACAGAAGACGAGAAAGATCCCAGAGCACTGATTACCTGTCTGCAGATTATTTTACTAAAACAGACTAATAATACAACCAGTCTTCAGGTATGATTTTGGAGGAAGTAGCAGAGCAAAGAATATCACTGCCAGAAATCATTTAGCTTGGTATATTTTGCAAAACACTACACCTGATATTAGTACTAGCTACTTAAAGACGAGACTTTTGGTACCAACTTCTAAAAATTGTCTCTACGACCAATTCGAAGACAGAAAGCCTTGTGATAGTCCGGCAACCTGTCAAGGGTGTACCCCAACTCTTACCCAATGTCAGCTGGTATAGGCTTCAGCGCCCCCCCAGCCCCTACCAGGATGAGCAGTTACAGCAAATGAATGAATGATTAATCAGACAGTTTGTGATTAAATTACAAATTTTGCCAGTTTTATACAGGCAAAGTTCTGTCACGGCTGTTTGTGTTTAAACAACATAATTTGGAAGCTTTCCCTTCTTAAATATAAACTTTAAAAAGTATTTTGTGGTAAAATCTATTTACATTTGACTCCCAGTGGCAGAGAATTAACTGGTAACTGGCTGGGAACTGACTGGTGGCCAGCTGGCAACCGAAAGGCCCTTGTTTGGGAGAGGAAATTCTAGGTTGCATCTTTACGGTATCTATAAAAGTGAGAGAATTACTCTCATGAGGACGTATCCAGTAGATTGTCTTGTTTTTCTCTGTTCATTATTTTGCATCTACATAATTAAATGTGAGCTACATTCATATATTGTATTCATATTTTACTTTGCTCTTTACGTTATATTTGGATCCATTTCATATCGCGCACCTTACATACAGGTAATGAGAGTTATGATTAAGTTTGGCAGAGTGATATATGTATATATATACACACACACACTATATATA